GAGCAGAATTAGACAAGGGAGCTGAGCGCAAGAGCATTTGTTAGACCAGGAGTAATGGATCGGGCATCCATTGTTTACTCTTCTCCATTCGCTGGCCTGGCCTGCTATTGAGCTCTATGTCCTCAAAGTCGAAGCAGCGAGAGTGGAGGGCCGCTGTTATGATTCTGACAACATGTGAACTTTTTGACAATGGCAAATTTGTTTTCAAATTCTGTAAACTATAGTGTTGTATTACTCATATTTTCCCATATTTTTCACAATTAAAGTCATATTTTTAATGTGAATAGCCCTGTTCACACCAATGATTTGTGACGAGACAAAACCATTTTTAGAACGCTGCAGAGAAAAGTTGCAGCAGTGTGAACTGGCCGACTCAAGCCAGATGATGGTGTCATCTGCAATTCAGCTGGTCAAATCTCCAGCAGATGGTTTTAGAACCGTAAACGTCACCTGTTTCAACAGCCAAAAGGCCTGTAGTGAAGTCTGCTCGTCAGGTTAAAATTAATTCAGATAGCGTATTCGCTTGCTGTAGCAGGTGCTCTGTCCTAGTCTCTGCTCTCTGTCACTCAACTCAAGTCCCATGGAGGAATCAAGTACTTCATGTTTCCTGTTGCAACCTTCTCTTTTTAAGCTTTCTTCCCGTCCGATCGTTGTGATCCTGGACAGGCTAACTGACGTTTTGACTTCTCAGCAACTTTTTTCGTCGAGCTTTGACCATTCAAAATCATAAAGTACATCATCGGCATCGGCACCACCCTCACCAACCGACTTATCAAGAACCTGCCCAACTGTTGTGTGGTACATCAGGATGAGTTCCCCAAGTCATCACTGCTCTGGACATGGACGCCATGATGAGTACGATCCAGGCATGGTTGGACAACCTGGTGAAGTTTGAGAAGTCGCATGGCGTCATTTACACGCTGGATACTGAGATTGTCTCAAAGTCTGGCCATCAGGAGGAGGAGACTCACATCCTTATTGTGGAGGACTTTCTGTGCTTCATCCACACCCCTTTGATCGGTGTGCTTAGCCACAATACTTTATTTCCTTCCCATATCAAGAATGCAAAAAGGGGAGGTGCTCTAGGAACTACACACCTCCAGACCCCCCGGCCTCTTCGACGGCCACGTCTGGCCCATGTATTTGAAACACAAGTAGATCGGGAACAGTCTGCATGCACATATTCTCATTGACTGATTAATTGGTGCTGGTTTTTTATATTATTGTGCAGTATTTATTATGGATACATCCCATCTGATGCTCGTTTTGTTTCTGTTTTTCGCTGTGTCATCACTACTACAAATGCAACTGTAGCCAGTATCTCACTATCACTATCCTCATTCATATTTTAAGAAGCTAATAAAAGAAGAAAATATATTCAGCCACAAAATAAGCCTGAAAAGCTGGAAATCAGAACAGAAGTACAGAGAGTTGTTGCATAGAGATGATACACCGTATCATGCAGTTGCAAGTTTTAGGACTTTGCACAGCGGGGTGTTGCAAGTAGTTGTGTGTTTCAACTGGCCTCGTCGCAAATCTTTGGTCTGGACTGGGCTTTAAAGTTACAATATTGAGCATAAGGTGGTAATACTAAAATCAATGCGTTTGCACTTTATTATAAATTAATTATTACCTGATAGCACATGATTTGAATCATCAGTCGTTTGCATATTCAGGGACGCCCTGAGAGGCAAGGAGAAAAACATGTTGCATGCAATTCTGCTGCGTTTGAAATATTGTCACTTACATGAGAGTTAATCCACATTTTCCTTATTCTCATGTATGCCATTTACTTTGAAAAGTACTTGACGATTTTTTTAATGTATCCTAATAGTTTGTGCTGTTGCAGCAGTCCAGTTTTCCCAAAAAGACTGTCGCTGTGTATGCACTAAATCAATTAAGTTTGATTCATTTGAATAATGTAATTCTTGCCAAGTCAAATGGTTCATTAAGAACTGTAGTACTGTAATGGATTCCATTCATACTGACAGAAGACTTCAGGCCTCCTGAAGTTTACCTGAGCCACCCACTGAATCTCTTACTCTCAGTGGTGCTGACCGTACAACCTGACCTCCTTGGAGGAGGCAACTGAAAAAATAGAATTTCCCTCCAGGGATCACAAGAGTAGCATATTAATGTTACTGCTTTATTACCATAGTCACTGTAACAGGAACTGCCAATGTGGTCATTGCCAATGCTATTTTTTTTTACAGTTTAATTCAAGTGGGTAACAGTACCACCAGCCTGCGCTAAGATGTGGTGGTACAGTAGGTTTTGCCAGAGCTACACTAACAGCTAGACCTCCTGCAGGGTCTATGTATTTCTTTCTACCCTGGCAGGCTGACAGGGAGTCAGGCATGGACAGTAAAGGGTGCTCCCTTGGCAGAGACAAGGCCTTGGTTAGCACTCCATGGGCATGGGCACTGCTATGGATCATTACTTCCCTCAGTGGAGTGGCTGCTGTTTGTGTGTGTGTGTGTGTGTGTGTTTGTGCGCGGGCGCGCGCATGCCTGCCTACTTGTGACAGAATGAGCGAGGGGGAAACTGCAACACAGAAAGAGCTATTAATATTAATATCATTCTATCACATCAGGGGTCTCTCCATATTTTTAGATGATAAATTACAGTCGCTACTGCCCCCTACTGACACTCTGGCAACTAGCCACTGGCTTTGAATATTATGGATGTCCCGTCTAACCCCCCCACCCACCCACACACACGCACAAACCTCTAAAATAACAGAGGTAATAATAACTATTATATCATGCAGAGTCTGGGACTTGTACATGTTCATTTCTTTTCTCTTACATTACTGACATCACACCTGAATGCATTCATATTGTTGTTCTTAAGCTATTGATCTAGTGAATGAGATACCTGACTCTGGAATAGATCACCTCTGGATCTCCAGGGTTCCTGGTGGTCCTTGCAGTCCTTGAAAGTGTGTGGTTTTAAGGAGAAACAAATAAAGGTGTAAAAGTTAAGCCCTATTTGCACAGGACTAATATTACCTGGGGACCTCTGGTAATTTGTGGTAATTTCAGTTTGTCTGTGATCTTAATCCTGTGCGAATCTGCCACGTCTGTAATTTGTCAAGTGAAAATCCCACCGTAAATTATGTACCTTATGTCGCCAAACACAGAGGTCGTGGTGTTGGTTGGGGTTGTGTTCAAGTTTTTGTTTCCTCTGTGCCTCGTTTCTGCCTCTTTCCCATTTGAGAATTATCGTGGCTGTGTTTGCAATTATAAATGAAGGTTTTGACAGGATTTTGGGTTCAGGAGGCTCATCTCGTTACAAAGCATGGAGATGCATTTGCAGAAAAAGCAAGAACAAATCAATCAGAGGAGCGAAATCTCAAAAGATAATGACATGGATAACTTGACAGTGTGTGGCAGAATCTCGTTTAACTCATGTTTAAAAAAAGAAAAGGAGGTTAACATTGTACATCACCACTCATGGTGTTGTGTAGAGTGGAGTTACAAATGACTGCGTGCATCATATCTGCGGGATAATGTCAGTAAATACAAGTCAAATATAGACTTTGCTTATTCTGTGTGAATGTGCCGCACAAAACGCAGAAGTGGTGGGTGATTTCTAAATCACATGAAGTCCCCTGGTACTAGGGTGAGTTCTGTGCAAATAGGGTTGAAGACACACACACATAAATAGACATGAGTCATTGAAAGTGATTAAATTCATATATTTCTTTGCTGCAAGAGAAATTCAAGTTCTTTTGATATTTTCTGCCCTCACTGTAACAGCAGTTGAAAGTGTTGACACGTTGTGGCCTCCTTCTTTTTAATTGTAGTCTGTGAGCACCTGTAAAGCCTGCTAGTTCTCTTTATAAGAATTTGGAGTGTTGTAACAGTAATTAACTTTGATCCTGTCTCAAACTATGCCGTGTTGGGTCCTTGAATTTGAAGGAATCTGGCCTGAAAAGTCTTTGAATGTGATGTTTAAGAAGGTGTGTGGACCCTGGCTCTTACACATCTTACAGGCAGCACTAAAAAGCTAATACAAAGGCAAAATAAAACCGTCTCCTCCTGCAGTTTTTTGCACCCACCACACAGATCATTTCCATTTTATTCATCTTTGACAAAGCTATTAATTTTTCCATTTCACACCTAAACAATGGAACTTCTTATTAAGTTTACATAGCAAGAATAGTGAGATGAATATTAAGAATCTATGAATGATGAATAGAAATCACATGTTTAAGATCCCCCGCTCTGTGTATCTTTGTGTGGGATTGCTCTGCTTCACACACAGCACTGCTTTCGTAGTCGTTGCGAGTTTCAGAGCGAGTGCGGCGAGGCTATCACCAGACTAATAGCAAGTTATCACTATTATTGGAGATGTAGGATAGATTGGTTAAGTGCTGGGAGCAGGCAAACTGGAACGTACTGAGTTGTAATCTCATTTAACAGCTCTTGAATTGCTCAAAGGTGTGTGTTTTGAAAAAGTTTGCTCTCCATGTGTATGTGTGAGTGCGTCTGGGGATGTGAAGCCGCTCTGCTGTTCCCGGGCCAGCTATTAGTCACGCAGGAGTGGCTAATCTGTAATGGCTGCTGTCACAGCCCTGCCGTGGCTCCTGGTGATGGGTGCACTGTGACAAATGCGCACGCACTCACTTTCAGCCTGAGAACACACACAACACAGAAGTTTAAAACACACACAAATATGTGCACTCACACTGATTCACTTACACACAAAGAATCATCCATTCCGGCAATGCAGTGTTACAACTTCTGACAAGCTCTCCAGCACCAGTCATCAGTCCAGCCGCAGGTGACAGATAAGACAAGTGAAGTTGGAGCCGTCCTGTTATATTGGCACTGCAGCAGACTGAATCTGACTGAACATTTGCATACAATCCCCCCTCTATTTCTCTGTGTCTCTTACTTTGTCTGTTTCTCTTCTTAAAGTTGAAAAATCTACATTTTTACGTCTAAATAAAACCAACAAAACACTCATTCCTCTCCTCTTGTTTTTGTCTCCAGAGCACGGTGGTGGTGGAGAAGTCAATCCAGGATCTAATGAGCCTAATGCAAGACCTGAGTGCCTACTCCAACCAGTTCCTAGAGATGGTCTGCGACAAGCTCAAAGAGTACAAGGAAATCTGCAACACAGCCTACAGGTAAAAGAAGGAGGAGGCTAGCTCACCTGCAATAGAAGCTGAAATCTTCATCTATTCACTCTAGGATGGCTGTAGAATTCAAAATGTTGCAGGAATAAATCTGTGTTGTTTAGGTAAGGTTGCAATCTGCAAAGCTTTTATGGAAAATCATGGGGAAATGTTTGTGTGCATATTTATGAAGGGCTCGCGGCATTGAATGTTTACTCTTCAGAATATGGAATTGGTTTTGAATTGGTTCTCATTGCTTTTTAAACACACTCAATGACACACACACACACCGGTGCTGTGAAAGGCCATCCATCTGTGCTCCCCTGGTGCCGTGTGACACCTGGCCAGGTAAATGGTGGGGGGCTAGAGAATATGGAGGGATGAGAGAGGGAGGGATGACCGAGCCAGTGGATGCAGGAAAAGGACTGACAGACTGCTGGGAGTCCATCTGGGCTCTGTCACAGGTCAGCCTCAGTCTCAGAGTGATAAAGATGAGCCCAACAGAGGCTGCCAATGTGTATGTGTTTATTTGTATTTGTGTGTGCTGCGTGCGTTTGTGTTCCCGTATGCATGTTCGCATGAACACATCTGTGTGTGTGTGTGTGTGTGAGGTGTAGATGTTTGCTGGTGTCTCCCGTACAAGGTGTTTGTGTGATATTAATTGCAGAACCAAGCAATTTCTCCAACCCAGACATATGCACACAAAGCAGATACATGTTGGCAGGCTGCCCCGATTTCTCTTCACGCCAAATCAGAGCTGCTGTAATACCACTTTACATGTCAGTGCACTACAGATGCTCATGTTCAACTACCTGACTATTAATGATACTAGTCTTGCTGCATGACTATTAGCATTATGCAGTCCACTTATTTTTAGCTGCACTTGCTGCATGGCTCCAGAGGAGTGGTAGTCTGTTGATGGACATTTTAGTATCCTAAAGGAGCTGTATGCACAATATGTGTATGTCTGTGATCCAGTTCTTAATATGGAGGTGGCTGAGCCGGCCACTAGCAGCTAACAGTGCTAACAATGGCAACGGTGCTGACAGAGCTAACATTGTTAACCAGTGGGGACTGAAGGGTGGAGGTTGGCGGTTCACTTCCACTACACCATCCTGATATCAGCAGTAATCACCACATAAGCACTGTGCAGAGCAGTGGCAGTCAGCAAGTCAGTGTGACACAGCTCGGACTATAACAAACAGAGAGGGAGCGTGACTTCAATCTCTGCTCAGGAATTAGGTCGCCATGACTCCACTCTTTACATCGGAAATACATTCCTGATTCCAAAAAAGTTGAGACACTTGTGAAACGTAAGTAAAAAGAGAATGCAATGATTTGCAAAACCTTTTCAACTCACTCACTCTCTGTTTCTATTAACAACACTCAGGAGGTGTTTGGGAACTGAGGACACTCAATGCTGAAGTTTCAAAGTGAAATTCTTTCCCATTCTTGCTTGACATACGACTTCAGTTGCTCAACAGTTCGGGGTCGCTGTTGTATTTTGCGCTTCACAATGCAGCACACATTTGAAATTAGAGACAGGTCTGGTTGCAGACAGACCAGTCCAGCACCTGCAATCTTATACCAGGAAGCCACGCTGTGGTAACCTGCAGAATGTGGCTCAGGCATTGTCTTGCTGGAATAAGCATGAACATCCCCTAAAAAAGACGTCATCTGGATGGCAGCATATGTTGCCTCAAAACCTGTACCTTTAAGCATTCTTGTTGCCTTCATAGATGCAAAGTTACCCATGATGCCATGGGCACTAACACACACCCTTACCACCACAAATGCTGGCTTTTGAACTTTGAAATGGTAACAATCTGGACGATCCTTTTCCCCTTTCCCCGGAGGACAGGACGTCCATGATTTCCAAAAACACTTTGAATGTTGGACTTGTGAGACCACAGCAGTTGCAGTCTCTAATGTGTTTAGGGAGAGTTCCAGAGGGAGGGGGTGGCTATTAAGAAGGCTCTGTCACCTCAGTTCATGACCACATATCTCTAAAGCAAAGGAATGAATTCCCTTCAGCCTCTGTTATATAATAATGGTGATAGCATTTAGCATTTTAGCATCACTAAAAAGCTACATGCATGTCGTCAACAGCTGACTGTAACATTCTAGCGTGGTAACATGCAGTAAAAGACAAATATATGTTTTGTAACTTGTCTAAGTTTGTCTGCTTTTTATGTGTCTGTTTGTCCTCAGGGGTATAGTCCAGTGTGAGGAAAAGCTCACCATCAGTGCTTCCTGGTCGAAAGATGAGGACATCAGCCGTCTGCTCCAGTCGCTTCCTAACTGGGCAAATATGGCCCAGCCGAGACAGACGCGACAGAAGAGGGAGGATGAAGAGGACTTTACTCGGTACACACATGAAAACACACAACAGACATATGCACTAGTTTAGATAAATATGCATATGTCCATGTGTATGCACATTCATAATTCTGTGATGAAAAAAAAAAAGCTATACTCAAACAAGTAGGGAAAACATGTTCGTGCACGCTACACACACACACAAACAAGGAGGAGTAGACGTACACCACCACACTTGAGCAATCACGCAAATAATCCCTCCCTTTCGTCTTTGCTCCTTTATTCCCGTATTATTGAACCCTATGTTGTTGACTAAGATGCATCTGTAAAATAAGTCACGATTGTTTTTTAAACACCCTCTATCTGAAGGAAGTAAGGAAACGAGGGAAGAACAAAATAGGAAAATATAAGGAGAGCAGAAGGAGGCAGGGAGGGGGGGGGGGGTGGCAGTCTTATCGAAATTGCCTTTGAATGTGCGCACTCTTCAGGGAACACTGGAGCTCATTGGAGCGGAATAGAAAAGTAAATAAATAAATTGGTTATGTGGCCAAAGAAAGTCAATCTGTTGTGTGCGAGCTCCCTCCCTCTCTCAGACACACACTATGAGAGCTCAGAGATAGCAAAAAGGAGACCATAAGGCTGTTTGATTTGAGAGCCGTAGATGTTTTCATTAGTAGGAAAGAGGGATTAGCCTCTGCACGACTGGCAACTCAGTACGTCAATAAAGCCTCATTAATACACATGCCTAAGTATGAACGAGAGAATATGTGTGTTGTTGTTTTTTTATCCATTTGTTCATCTTGATCTTATGGACATCCTGGTGACTCTGGAGGCCGGTCTGCATGCCATGTGTTTACAGCACTGTGGTGTAGAGATTTCCAGCTTCCTCGCTCTCTCCCCATCTTTTCCTGCCAGTCTCTAAAGTCAATTATCCCTCCAAAACCACAAGCACTTGCGAATATAGTGAAAAGGGGGGTTTTGATCTCTACATCTTTGTTTTTCCACCCTGTAAATCTCTGCCGTCTGTTTGTTTTCCACTTTTAAATATTCTTCATCACCTGTTGTTTTTCTCTCCCACTGAGTGTGTAGCGACTCACACCTCCCTCTTTTTAAAGTCACTGTCATTTAAATTCTTTAACACTGTGTCCAACTGTGTCCAACTTCCTTGTGTTTAGGGCTGGGTATTGGGACTTGGTATCTTTAAGGTATCATTTCATTTTCATGTAATGTTTATTTGATAGGGAAAAATACAGTATGCATTAGCGGTGGGGTGAAAAATTTGTGTGGCAATATTGTATAGATACAAGGACGCCAAGTATCGATTTTATTAATTTTATAGGTTATTAATATTACAAACACAAATTAAACTTTTGGTAGCCTACTAGAATTATAAAATCAATTGGTTTTTCAGTCCACTAGGTACAGTTTGCTGCAATAAAAATTATCAAAGTGAGAAACTTTATCTTTAAAACTTTATCTTTATATAAGATTAAATAGATGTTGAAAAAATTTACTTTGGGGATGTGATTTACAGTTGAAAAAAGGTAATAAATCACAATGTATCACAATATATGTCATCGCAAAATGTTTAAATTGCATGTATCGTGACTGAAGTATTAAAACAAAATTGTAATATGGGGCCTCTGGTGATACCCACTTCTAGTCTGCATAGAAAATCGCTTGACAATTATTCATTGCAGTGTCACAGCATTTATAGCTACAGCTAATTTCCAATGCCAGTCCCTAGAAGGGCCTTTATAGACTGAAATACCCCAGTGCTCCGCGATATGTCAAATGATACCTGCATTCGATCGTTTTAGCACTGGGAGTCTGATCCTGGAATAACTTCCTGTCGGGTCAGAAAAATGTTTGTGGCTGCTTCTAGTAAAGTGCTTCTAGTCAGTTCAACTGCCCAGTTAGCACAAACTAACGCAGCAACAGTGGCTAACATCCAACGCCGAGCCGGTCCCGACAAACTCAAAGCAACACTGAATTGACTCGGCTCTATCATTAAACCTGTTGATAGCCATTAAATTTATGTTGCTGCCCTCCAGAGACAATGGTTGACCAACTCCTATCTCTCTGCACCAGACGAAAAGGCCTCATAACAATTGTTTATAATTACGTTCATATACTGTCTCAGAACCGACTGATCTCCCTGAGGGCTGCCTGGGACCAGGACCTTGGGACCTCACCTTCTGATGAGTGTTGGGAAAGAATATTAAAACGTGTACACACTTCTTCCATATGCGCAAGGCATGGCCTGCTACATTGTAAAATTTTGCACAGAGCCCATCTCACTAATGCTAGGCTGGCCAGAATCTATCCCGACAGGACAGACGAATGTAATAGGTGTAAAGGCTCCCCTGTCAATTATGTTCATATGTTTTTATCCTGTTCACGACTATTGGAATACTGGTTGGCAATATTTAAAACAATCAGTGACATGATAGGCCAGATCATCAACCCTGAGCCCCTTGTGGTCCTCTTCGACATCTCCCCCACCAATGGCATGTCTAAATCCTCACAGCACATCATTGCATTCTCTTCCTTACTTGCTTGAAGACTCATCCTCCTTAAATGGACCCATGCTTCCCCTTCGACTCACAATAAATGGATCCATGAAATGCTGCAATGCATCACCCTGGAGAAGGTCAGGAGAGAGAGTCATTTAACCCAATGATTAAATTTCTGTTGCTGTTCGGTGTACCAAAATGCCACCAAAATGTTCTGACATCTTGCTAGACCAGGCACCACTCCATTCACATCATAGGTATCAAATGAAGTACTCTGTTGGTATCAGTATCATTTAAAGGGTACTGGCATTGGTACTGGTAGTGTAATTTTTTTTAATGATACCCAGTTATGCTTGTGTTCCTTTCCTCCTGGCATTTCTCTCTGTCTTACTATCTACTTAGTTATCAACCCTTTATCCCATTAACTGTGTCTTGTTTCTGTTATCTAGTTTGGACATTTGTGTATTGCTGTGAAGGTTACTGCCCTAATTCAGCCCAACGTCACTGTGCATATAAGCATGTGATTATTATAAAACTTTCTCCCTCTTCAGATAAACACACACAGTATAAACACACTTAATATTAGATGAACACATACATTTGCATACCTATTCCATTCAGCAATCCGTTATGTTTTATTTTATGAAAATTGGCTTCTATTATAGCATTTATGTAAGCCACTCACTGCCTCTGCAGACCGGACATTTTGAGTCCAACCAGCAAACCAATAACTGATAATTTTCTGTAGATAACTTAATACTTTCGACTGATTATAGGGTTTTTCATGTCCATGCCTCTTATTCATCAGACGTTTATTTGTCCTAGCACTTTTTTATGGCAGTCATTTTTGATAAAGTGCAGTTTGAGTAATGGTCAAATAATGTGTGTTTTTTGCCAACAGTATATTTTGCGTCAGTCCTTCTAACCACACAAACTCTTACATCCCACACTCTGCATCATTCAGGGCGGCTTTTGCTAAGGAGTCGGAGGTGCTGACTGGGAACCTGGGAGACAAGTTAATCCCCCAGAATGAGATCCTGCGGGATGTCAGTGACCTGAAGGCTTTGGCCAACGTTCATGAGAGCATGGAGTGGCTCGCTGGTCGCCTCAAGACATTCTTCACCAACCTGCCTCATGCTTCCAGTAAGTAGCAGGAGCATCATTTGGGATGTGGAAGTAGTTGACACTTTTTTGTTTTCATCGATACCATCAGTGTGATTAAGTTGGAACAACAACTGGTCAGTAGCCAATGCCGCGCCTTGTGCAGCGCATGTGATGACTTTCAGGGAATAATGGTGTCTTCTTTGTCTCTAGAGCAAGTTTCTGTTGTGAAGAAATAAAGGATTCAATCTAGATCGTCTCTGACTAAAGCATGAAATATTCAAAATGCCCATACGATTATGTCATACCACAGTGTCTCACCGACCTCTTTTCAGCTAGCGTTAGCTTAATCTGCTATCTCCAACAGATCTGCGTCCATTACAGTGAAATAAAAACAACATGATTACAGGTTAATTAAAAAAAATCTTGGGGACAGAAATACCTTCTGTCTGTTTTTCATCTGTTTCATTGTAGCCACCAGGTGCCTAAAAAAGCTCTTTTAAACTTAATGCTTGATAAAGCTAACACCTAGCTATGCTGATCCATTTTCAGTCTCAAAACTCTATCGGTGTCTTAAGACTTCTATCTTACGGGCCAATAATTCAGGCTGACCCGGTGCAGCCAGTGGATATCCGAGCCAAGGCTTCCTTTTCCATGCATTAGTCATTTTGGCTAATCTCTACAAACTGATATTTGCACATGGATGTACATAGATTATCAAAAAAGCTAACGTTAAGATAACAAGTCGTCAGACAATAGCTGATGGGTTCCGAGATTGCATTTTGGCCAATGCATTCCACCTCTTCACACAGACTGTATACCGTCATAAAATGCTATTTTTCAATACTATTCTGACTTCAATGGATACAAACAGAAATCAAAACATTTTCGACACCAAAATCTTGTCCTGCCAACTACAGATTCTGCACACATGAGCAGAATCTTTTTATAGAAATGAATCTCTCATGAAATGGAGAAAAACACAGATTGAAGGTATTTCTGTCTGTTACATGTTTTTTAAATTAACCTGTAATCGTGTGATTGTCAAACGCCAAAACAGACACAGATCTGCCAGAGACGGTAGATTTGGCTAACGTTAATTAGCTGAAATTAGATCAGAGAAAAACTGGAGTAAAACTTAATTGTATAACGCTATTAGTCACAGACAGTCTGTGCCGGACGAGCCCCCACTTGTTACAACCCTGCTCTTGGCCGCCGTGAGGGAAGAGGGAAGTCTGATGGAAACAGAAAGTTGCTCTGGAGACAAAGGAGATGACATTCTGTAAGTCAGCACAAGAGCTACACAAGGCGTGGCATTGGCTTCTGCCCCCACTTTAGGAAATATTGCCACAGCCCGTGCCATGTATCATAACATAGACCAGAAACTTGAGCAAAATCTGATCAAATATACATTAGTTTCATTTCCCTTTTGTTCTTATCGCACGCCTGCATCCCCATGTCTATTTATCTAATTTAACTTTTTTATCATAGTGGCCTTGTCTGTACTTACTCTTGATGTGGCAGGCATTTGCTCTTTTATTTACAGCTTGTTTGATAGAGCGTTGAACAAGAAGATAAGAAGTTTGATTAATGGAAGTAATAACTGACATATTAATCCATTATTAAAATAGATGTTAGGTGCAGCCCTAGTTGTAAACACAGAAGTTCAGACCATGTGTTCTTTCTCATTTCAACACAGCTGGAAAATCACTGTGTGAATGTTGGATTGTCTGTTTCGGAAAGTTACAGAAATTGCCGAAAGCAGACGCCCCAAGTCTGACACTGGAAAAGGTGTGTTGAAAAAACAGATGGACCAGTATTTGAGGTCTCACACTTCCATGCATAATTAAGCTCTCATATCTTTGCATGGAGGCAAGATGCTGTAACATCACTACATAGTCTGTACAAAGTGATTGACAGACTGTGCTGTGCTGGTATTTATCACCTAACTGACTGGATTCTCCCCAACTCACCCAAAACCCTGTTCCTTCTAACTGCATGTCTCCAAAGGTGTTACTCTGTTGATGAAATTAAATTAAGCAAAAAACTTTGAGATATTTCTGACACAAACATTGACATATGCAGTAAGAATTTTGCGCCTACTCCCGGCACATTGACGCCAACGCAGACATCTGTTGCTGTTTATTCTGCATAGTGAAAAACTGATTATTTTCTTTGACACATGGTTTCTGCTTGTCGGATGGTTGCATTGCACCAAAAATTAGATTATCCTCCCTGTCATTTTCTCTCCCTCAGTTTCTTGTTTTTCCACTTTGGCACAGACAGAGAGGCTTTCATGGCTGCCAGTGATATTATTATTCAGGAGAAAACTGAGTATATGTTCACGTCACATCCAACAGATATCAGGAGCGTGATGATTTAGTGATGCTTAAACCCCTGAAAGCACCTGGCAACAAGCCTCTGGGACACCATACATTCTCCTCTAACTGGTGTATTATAGTACAGTACAATATTACATCTTTTTCAGGAGACGTTGCTACTAGTCTCTCAGGTCATTAAGCAGTTATCGATCAGAATACACCGCAGATTAAAAAACATAGCCTGGATGGTTTATGGAGGGTCACAGTCAGGGGTGTATGAAGTCTTCTCACCCTTAGCTTCAGCAACACTCCTTACCTGTGCCTCATTAAGTTCTTGTTTGAGTGTATTATCACACACTCATTACCTTCTCCACTGGAGTTGTCAAAGAGCACTTTACACACACACACACACACACACACACACACACACACACACACACTCATTATCCTCGGCTCTGCCTGCCTAAGTGTGTGTGTGTGTGTGTGTGTGTGTGTGTGTGTGTGTGTGTGAGTGAGTGTATAAATGCCTGCCCTAATCAGGACTCTCAAAAGCGTTTCATACGTTCCCTGCTCAGTCATCACTTTTGTATCATTAATCACTGATCAAAATGAGGTGTATGTGTGCAAGTGTGTGTTTCTATCCAACACATTGTCTCTGTGTAGGTCTTGTTAGTTTCTAATCATTAACAGTAATGTTTTTATCCTCATTATCACTTAGAACATATTAATCTCTTTATAATGGTTCTAGCATCTTGTTATATTCTTCTTCAAGTCCATATCTTTTTATTAACATCATATGAGTGCAATCAAGGAGTTATTGCTCCCACTAAGGACTCTTAAGACCTAGAACAGACATCTAAGAACATGTGACGACGACGACAGCCAAGTGCTTCCCCCAAGAAGCTGCACTTGAACACACCAATAGCCAACAAGCATAAACGTTCTGCACCAGTGTGACAGGAAATAATTCTCCATACTAGCAGGTAGCAGCAGTCTGTATATGTCATTCAAGAAAGGAAACCTGAAGACTGACAGGACAGATTCAAGATGCTAGTTAGCCAGTTAGCACATTAGCACACAACCCAATGTTGATAGAACAAAGGATATTTACTGTGCACGAGTAAACAATAAGACAGTTATCAACTGTTTCTGCTAAATAGCTCAATGGCTAAAAAAACATCTTACCTAATATAACCATTTAGGTTTGATTTCAAATCCTCTTGACTTTAGCTGTTTGTTTACTTTCCTCACTTCTGTTTCCTTTCTCGTGCACTGAGCTGAACTGCCAATCAGGGTGATCTCTTGCCTATTCAACACGCTGAAAAACCATCAACAGGGCCGACTAGTGTCAATGGTGCAGGACACACCTCAAAAACTAGAGTGACAGACACTCACCACCAGCCCAATATTGACTGACACCGTACATTTTATTAGGGCTGCCAAAATAATACGTTAAAGAATTAACACTGATTAATCCCATTCCATGGTGCCCTTTGAGCCGGTGTGCCATTGAAGGCCAAAGTAGCTTTGTCACATGATGGAGACAGACAAGACGGTGCTGCTTGGCCCCCGTGAATGGAACATTTACATTTAAAAAACGCCCACATGGAACTGTTGATAGGAGTTTTTTGTACCATCAGAGTACTTCAAGCCTGAAATATCACCTCAAGGGAAAGCATTTAGCAGAAAACCCGGAGGTCCGAGCTAGCACAGCCTCTGATGCTAGTGCTAGCAGCCAGCCTTGTCAAGCCACACTCAACCAGATGTTCAAACTGAAGTAAGTCTACCTGTGACTGCCTAAGTAACTCCCTCGCAAGGTGGATTGCAATTACTGCAGACTAGTTTTTGTGGTAGAGGACAGAGGGACAATTGTGTCCAAAATCCAGCAGCTTTACAACAAATCTGCCAAAGTTTATTTGAATTTAATTTGATGTATGTGATTAATTTAGAGTAATTACTCTCAGAACTAGAGTATAAATGTGCAGTATAAAACATTCCCCCAAATTCTTACACTACAAACAGACTTCATTTCTTAGTAATCTTTAATGTGTTGTTTATTTCTTTCTAATAAGCTCATTCAGTATTTAGCATGTTTGAAAAAAAAGCATCAAACTGATTTTCTAGAGTTGGATGTGTAATTTATTATCAAACTTGACGATGCTCTTGAAGATTCTGCTTTTCTTGAAAAAGACTCAGATGTCAGAGATCTGTAGTTTATTTTGCAGACAGACATCTGCGTTTAGACAGTGGTGGAACGTAACTTAGTACATTTACTTCACTACTGCTCTGAAGTACAGACTTGTGGTACTCATACTTCAGTTTTTCCTTTTCTGTGTCTTTATACTTCTACTCCACGACATATCAGAGGCTTTTACCTCACTACATTTATTTGATAAGTTTAGTTAGTAGTGAAATTGCATATTCAGGTTAATATATAATCCAAAATATGATCAACAAATACAATATGATGCAATATTATACACTGAGACAAAACTTTTTGTATCCCCCCGGGGGAAATTCACACGCTACCATGCAGATACAGTACATTAAGTAACTCTAATGAGCTCCACATTTACCAGCTGCAACATTCAAGTGAGGATCACATTAATACAACAATGATTATAATCCAGTAATATAAAAACATTATTTTTAAATGGGGCATTTTGCATAATTACGACTTTTACTTTTGGCACTTTAGGTAAACTTTTATGCTAATACTTA